GCCGACAATGGTTTAAATCTTGTAATTATATTTCTTACGCCTGCTATTCGCCAAGTTAAGGTAAGACAGTACATAGCAATGCTTAAGAGTTACCTTCGAAACCAGTTTCTGAGTTCCAGGAGTACCCGATTTAATGTTTTCATTTCGAAAGCTTAGACCGCCCACTGAACACGATTGGGTGTCGAAAGTCGAGTAACATTTAAAATTTCATCATGTTTTTCGGCCGATTTGCAGTATCATGCATTTACACATGTTGTACATATGCTTTTTCGGTCGAAGAATTGAAATAAATCGGGTATAAAGAGACTTTTCCTGGAGAGTGTTAAGTTATGTTAATTCACAATCTAAATGTTCTGCCTGGAGGCATGATTAGTCATGACTACACTTGAATGACTTGATGAAACGTGCATGCATTATTTTTTAGCGTTCGGGCAAGAAACACGAGTCCGCTCTCTGACAATATTTCATCGATGGCAGTTGTTCTCTGACATTTTCTACCCACGGTAGATATCCCCAAAGTAAAATAATAAGCAGGAGAAATACATATGTAATCTTTTACTTGATCAGCCTCATGTGGCAATTGCAGCTTAGACTTCTTTGCAGATAATTTGTTTGTTAAATGAACCAAATGTTATCTTTTCGGTTCGTTTCAATTTATGCCTGACTACTTTATTTTTTAAATTTCTACTTCTAAGAATGTGAAATTGACGTGGCTTCATTGGTCAAAAGATTAAATGAAAACATTATCATAGCAATTTAAACGTTGAAAAAGAATCACAACTGTCCAAAAGCAAGCACCAGATCCTTGTGACTGACTTTGTTATTCTATTTCTCCTTTAAGGCTAAGAGGCTGTTGGTATGAACTCCAGCGCTACTTAGAGCTTCAAAGCTAGACGGTACAAACTTAACAATTGAAGGTACAAACTTAACAATTGAAGCTTACACTCACTAAAACTAATTTGTTCTGATTCCGGTGGTTAACAAGACACAATACCTTACGTCCCATGCTTTCCTGCACATTTAGATGTCACTTCCAGACGATTATCCAATGGAAATTGAGGAAGGCCAGCAGGGTTGTCAAGGTAAGTCTCTTTTCCCTGAAATGATGAAAGGTATTTGAGAGCGACATGACATTCCGTGACGGAATGATATTGTGAACATATTTAATTATTTGACCATAGATTCTTAGCAATAGTACTCATTTTTACATATACATATCTGTAAATATGTGAATCGCCCCAAGTTTTTCCGACGCAGAAGAAATCTACACATTTCCTGATGTTAATTTTATTCATGCTTCCTCCGAAAATGGTACCTAAACTCCAATTCTTGGATCAAACTTGAATTTACATACTCTTTTTGCTTATTGTTTCAGTAACAACGCCTTCAGCTGAAAACATTACAACACAAATGGAGGGGAACCACTACAGACAACACGCGTACGAGGAGCAATATCTCGAGGTAGATCAAATTAAGTCCGGCACACTCTCTGGTCAAACCCCCCTCATTAGACAACTAGGACAATTAAGACCCAGCGTGCATCAACTCATCAAGATAAGCGTTCCTCTGTCGCTTCACCCTTACTAGTTTTGCTCTCCTCTAAGGCATTGCCACTTAAGGTATGGGGTTGTGCATTATGTAGATCTTAATGTTGTGGGCGGTGCATGCGGGAGTGGTTTTTCTTTCAAAAACATTTTGTGTCCGAAGGACCATGATCTGTTGGATTATTTGGAAGAAGTGATCGCAAGAATAAACTCTCGAAGGCCTCCACTTTTCATAAAATTGAAAAAGCAAGTCGTTAACATGACGTTTCAAGACAAAAGGCTATTGGGCTACAGTGGAGTTCCCTTGGCTACCGCTTAATTCAGTCTTTTTTATTTTCAGGAAATTGAGCAACGAGGAGGTTGCGATATTCGCAAAAGACAAGATGCTAGTGGGCCTTTTAAGAGGCCTTTTAAGAGGAATGTATATTTAATAAAGACTTCCGATTTCAGATGGATGTATGACGATCCTCACTTGCCAACAAAAAGTACCCTAGCAAATCTAAGAAAATCCCCCCAATATAAAAGGCAGGTGGAATTTCACGAAGAGATGTCAGAAAACATGGTTAAAAAGAAGCTTGAAGATACATTTCCATACTTGAAAAATAGGAGGTAAGAGAGGTCTGATTTAGTTGTCCCTAAACTCGAGCTCCTGTTCATTGAAAAGATATCAAAACTACTCAGTAAAACCGTAATGAGGTATTAATCCAGTGAATGGGAAGTCGCAGTTAGAGTCATTTTCCGTTAATTGCTTTATCTGTAGTTATTCTTGTGGAACTGCTAAAGGCAAGGATAAAAGCAATTCAACTTCTCAAGACTGTGGTTCACGAATCTGGGATGGAAAGAAAATAAA